TAGCTAGAAACAAGCCAAAGTTAAAGCCAAACATTCATAATTAATCCATGTCATGATTTGGTGGGGACTGGCGATCCAAGAAAGCCTGCTACATATCTATTTCCTTTTTCTCTCTAAACAATACTGAACTTGAATATGTTTAACCTCTTTTTTTCTTGTCTCCTTCAATATTTCATCTCAGGTAACATTCTTTTACTTCCAGTTAACAACTTAAAAGTAACTGATTAATTACATGGCAGTAAAGAAAACAAACAGAGCTGGAGAGATGGCTCGGCAGTTAAGAGTTCTTACTGCTCTTGCAGGACTCCAGTATGTTTCCTAGCACCCACACAATGGCTCATCATGCAGAATTCCAGTCCCAGGGGATCAATTCAATGCCTTCTTCTGACTTCTGAAGGTACCAGGAACACACATGGTACAGAGACATACATGCTGGCAAAAACACTTATACACATAAAATAAATAAATCTAAAAAAGTAAAAATAAACCCCCAAATACTAAGCTTATACCACTATTCACATGCTCTCCTCCACTGTTTCCATTTGTTTTTTAGCAATGATACTCTATCTATATTGTATTCTTATATGTATCAAGTGTCTCTTTATAATAAAAAAAATCATTCATTTGGTTTTCTGAACCTCATTCTTTTTTGGGAGGAGGGCAGTTTTAAGACAGTTTCTCTGTGTAGCCCTGGCTGTCCTGGAACTCACTATGTAGACCAGGCTGGCCTCGAACTCAGATATTTGCCTGTCTCTGCCTCCTGAGTGCTGAGATTAAAGGTGTTCGCCCCCACTGCCCGGCCTGAACCTCACTCTTTAGTGGATTCCTTATGAAGGGCTCATGGGAACAATATCCCTCAAATTTCTAACAATTAGTACAGGGTTTTTTGACCAGAAGTTCATCTTGGATAGCTATAAAATCCTCTCATTCTCTCTTTCACTGTATTTCTTTTTTTTTTTGGTTTTTTCGAGACAGGGTTTCTCTGTGTAGCTTTGCGCCTGTCCTGGAACTCACTTGGTAGCCCAGGCTGGCCTCGAACTCACAGAGATCCGCCTGGCTCTGCCTCCCGAGTGCTGGGATTAAAGACGTGCGCCACCACCGCCCGGCCACTGTATTTCTTAAGTGATGAATGTTAGTAGCAGCAGCAGAGAACAGATTAAAAGCATGATCGTGTGACAGAATACACACTGAACGTAAAGAATTTCTTCATTTGTCCTATGAAAATCACACAACCTAAATTAAGGGATGCATAAGACAGACCCAAGTTGGGGGAGATCCTACACAGTACTTTTCAAAATGTCAAAATAAAGAAAGACTAAAAAAGCTAACAAGATACAACAACAAAATGCCAGATGATCCTGGCCTGGCTCCCAGACCAGAAACAGAACTAGAGAATTGCAAATATTCCTTTGATTAGAACACAGTGAGCACTACTGGAAAACCTAGCCTATGTAGCCCCTAAAAGATGCCCAAGTTACAAAAGACAAAGTGTAGGACCTAGTCCACATTAAAGGAAACTTTTTTTTTCCAAGACAGGGCTTTTTCTGTATAGCCCTGGCTGCCCTGGAACTCGCTCTGTAGACCAGGCTAGCCTCAGAGATCTATATGCCTGCTTCTGTCTCCAGAGGGCTGGAATTAAAGGCATGTGTCACCATGGTCTGGCTTGGATGGAAATTTGTTCTTGACACATGCATGAGAGAACAACATGTGACTGAGAGATTTCCTTTTTTTCTAAAAATGTTAGCATAATTAATAAAAGGACAAAAGGTCTGAAGACTAAATAATAGCATTTTACCAGATTTACTTTCCCTCCCCCCCCCACCCCAGAGCTGAGGACCGAACCCAGGGCCTTGTGCTTGCTACCACTGAGCTAAATCCCCAACCCCCAGATTTACTTTCTTGATTTTGATATTTTACTATACTGTTCATGAATGTCTTATTTTAGAAATACATTAAAGTTTCTATGAGTAAAAAGGGCATCATGCTTAAAGTCAATTCCCAAGTTCTTTAAAAGAAGCCTGTGTGGATAGAAAGGACAAAGCAAATGTGGAAAAATATCAACATTTGGGAAAACTTCACAAAAAGTCCAAATGAATTTTTTATACTATTCTTACAACTTTCTTGTAAATCTGAAACTAAATCAAAGAAAGAAGTTATAAATATAAAATGTCACTTGTTTTCTTGAATCTGCAATCTCTCTCCCATATTTATCTCCTCCTCTTAAAATTTTTTATTTATTTATTTATTTTACATTTTCTTATTTTAAATACAAGAATGCTTTGCCTATGTATATGTCTATGTACCAAATGCATTCCCAGTGTCTACAGAAGTCAGAAGAGGGAATTGGATCTCCTAATATTAGAGTTATGAGCTACCATGTAGGTACTGGGAATCAAACCCAGGTTCTCTGCAAAAGCAGCCAGTGCTCTAAGTACTAAACTACCAAGCTACCTCTCCAGTCTCTTCTCTCCCTTTTAAAATCTTTCTTTCTCTTCCTTCCTTCCTTCTTTCTTTCCTTTCTTTCTTGGTCTTTTGTATCTCTCTCCAATTTAACTGATGGCCTACTCTAAGTAGGGTATCTTCTTGGAACAGAACTTCAGTTGGCTCATTTTAGTTGATATTGCCATGTACCTATAATCCCAGCATTTGGAGGGTTGAGGCAATGAGGCTTGCCAAGTTTGAGGTTAGCCTATGCTATAGAGTGAGGCCCTGACTAAAAGAAAAAAAAAGTTTGTAATATAATTTGTAAGATTACTTATAAGGAGAGAGAAAAATAAAAACAGAACTTGGGAATGGTATCACAGGCCTGAAATCTGTTATGTGGGAAGATTAAGACAGGAGGTTTTCAAGTTCAAGAGTCCCCTAGACTAAAAAGAGTTATACGTTCTCCACATAAAAGGTGGTAAGGGGGCTGAGTCTATCAGTCTGGCCTTCAATCAGGTTAGGGACGGTGGCATGTGCCTGTGACCTTAGCTCTCATGATGATAATGAGTCTGAGGCCAATCTCAGCTACACTGTGAGTTGTTGTCTCAAAAATACAAGGACTAGGATCTATCTAGGAAGAAGCCCTCTTTAACCACATGTATAAAGTCCTAGATTCAATCCTCAGAACAACAAAAAACAAAACAAAGCAAAAAACAACAGCCAGATCTCCAAGACCCAAACTCAGACAGCCTCAGTCTGTAAGGATGAGAAACTATAGTCTTGATGGCCATCAAAAAAACTGAATGGTTTAGAGAGTGAAAAAAAGTAATAGGGAAATGCAGGACCAGAGGCTCATTTGGTAGAGTGCTTGCCTGGAGGACACAAGGCACTGGGTTTGAGCCCCCAATACTGCATGAGGTCTGGTAGCAAATGCTTGGAATGCCAGCATTCATAAGGTACAGTAAGGAGGATGAGCAAGGTCATCTATGATACATAGCAAATTGAAGCCAACTAGAGCTATATGAGACAATGTCTTATAACTTAAAAATAAACAATAAATAATAAATAAAACAGAGGCTGGAGAGATGGCTCAGCAGTTAAGAGCACTGACTACTCTTCCAGAAGACCCAGGTTCAAGTCTCAGCACCCACATGGCTGCTCACAAGCAGCTGTAACTCCAATCTCAGGGGATCTGACCCCCTCTTCTGGCCTTTCTCTGATTATAGAACAAGGTTCCTGATTCCACTCAGATGAGCTGGCCTCTGAGGAAGCCTTAGTCACAGGAAGATCCAGAAAGACTAGGCCTCAGGGCACAACCCTCACCAGAGCAGAGAGAGACAGGCCAATGGGGAACCATAAAAAGTGTGGCCATGGCGGGCTGGAGACAGAGCTCAGAGGTTAAGAGCACTGGCTGCTCTTCCAGAGGTCCTGAGTTCAATTCCCAGCAACCACATGGTGGCTCACAACCATCTGTAATGAGATCTGCCCTCTTGTGATCTGCAGGCGTACATGCAGGCAGAACACTATATACATACTAAATAAATAAATCTTTAAAAAAAAGTGTGGCCAAACAAAAACCTGGCAGTACATGCTTGGAAGCCCAGCTACTCAGGAAGGAGAGGCAGGAGGATAGCAAGTTGAAGGCCAGTCTGGGCTACACAGTTTATAAAAGCATAGCTTAGCCATATCCTGTCTCAAAACAAACAAAACTTTGAATTGGGAGAGGGGCTGGAGAGATGGCTTAGCAGTTAAGAGAACTAACTGTTCTTTTAGAAGACCCAGCACTTACACAGCAGCTCTCAATTGTCTAACTCCAGTTCCAGGAGATGTGACACTCCCTTCTGGCTTCAGTGGGCACCCCTATATACATGCACACACAGACATGCACAGGCACACATACCCACAGTTAAAAAAAAACAAAAACTAAAGTGTGAAAATAAGATAAATTATAGATAATATGATTCACTTTAAAAACAGGAAAATGTACGTTACTCCTTATAAATTTTTTTTTTTAAATTTAATATCTTAGATTCTTAGAAACATGAACACTTTTACTTACAATTGGTATTCAGTCTCAGGATAGTCTCTCTCTCTCTCTCTTTTTTTTTTTTTAAAGATTTATTTATTTATTATGTATACAGAAGAGGGTGCCAGATCTCATTACAGATGGTTGTGAGCCACCATGTGGTTGTTGGGAATTGAACTCAGGACCTCTGGAAGAGCAGTCGGTGCTCTTAACCTCTGAGCCATCTCTCCAGCCCCTTATAAAATTTTAAATTAAAAATGTTAGCCTTTACCTGACAGTGATGGTGCACGCCTTTAATCTAAGCTCAGGAGGCAGAGGCAGGTGAATCTCTGTGAGTTTAAAGCCAGTCTAATCTACAATGAGTTTTGGGACAGCCAGGACTACACAGAGAAACCCTGTCTTCAAAAAACAAAAAAAACAAAAAAAGGGGGGGCCTAGTCTAAAAAACTGTACATCTATGTAGGAATAGCCTGATAAGCCTCAAGACTGGCCAATCTAAATTTTCTTACAGCAATATCCCATCACACCTTGAAAGGAAATATTATACTACCTTCTGGAGCTTCAAGGGTCTTCTTATTCTGCTCACACCACCCAATGGGATAGAGGCCAGCTTTCCTGATATCACACCAGAAGTCTGCTTTCCGGTCTTCCCCATAGCCTTCATAACGGAGTAAGAGTAACTGCTCACAGGCAGTAATGACAGTGGCAACCCAGTAAGTTTCCGGATCTTTTTTCACAGCTACCTCCAGCTTCATCCCAGGAGCAAAGCCATTTTGCAAACGTATGTCCACCTGAAGAAAGAAACGTTAGGGACCAGACAAATGTATTACATGAGTGTTTCTCTGCCCAGATTCTTTTTTTTAAAGATCTAACATTTCTGAAGCACTAAATGCCTATAAAATCTTCTCAAAGGAAACCTGAAAAATTCCAAGTCTAACTCATAACAGTGACCTAAACAAAACAAAAGTAGCTACAGGGATCTGTCCCACATGACAGTGATGGGACTTGGTATTTTCAACAATACAGTCTATTATGATTACAGAAAGTATCTTCTAGAAAGCATATACATGACTAAACCGTCACATTTTCGTATCCTTAAACTTGTCTTCAGAAGTGATTTCTACATCATTCAACAACAAGAACAACAACAAAAAACTTTAGGAAACTATAACAGGGAAGAAAAGCTATAAAGGTAATAAATCAGTAGCATTAGTAACATTACACACAATATGTAGAAAGCCATACTTCCAGTGTCAAAGTTCATGCTTCTGTCAGCTATTTTAATAAAATGTTCCAATTTAGATGAAAAATTACATAGTGACAAAGGTATGGGTTAGCAATTCTTAAGTACATTAAAATTAAGTATATAAACGCACTGTGGATAATGGCAATCACTGTGGGTGAAGTTATAAATTAAAAAAAAAAGTGGAAGAGTGGACATTCTGGCACACGCCTTTAATCCCAGCACTTGGGAGGCAGAGCCAGGTGGATCTCTGTAAGTTCAAGGCTAGCCTGGTCTACAGAGTGAGTTCCAGTACAGCTAGGGCTATTACAGAGAAACCCTGTCTCAAGATTCCACACAGCCTGGGCGGTGGTGTTGCACACTTTAAATCCAGAACTTGGGAGGCAGAGGCAGGAGGATCTCTGTGAGTTCAAGGCCAGCCTGGGCTACAGAGTGAGTTCCAGAAAAGTCGCAAAGCTACACAAAGAAATCGTCTCAAAAAACAAGAAAGAAAGAAAGAAAGGAAGGAAGGAAGGAAGGAAGGAAGGAAGGAAGGAAGGAAGGAAGGAAGGAAGGAAGGAAGGAAGGAAGGAAGGAAGAAACCACACACACACATATTATCTAATCTCACCAAAAAGCGGGGGGTGGACTGGAGTGTATCCTGTCATTCTGGACTGGAATCAGAAGTATCTAAATAAGAATATGACAACTGCCGGGCGGTGGTGGCGCACGCCTTTAGTCCCAGCACTCGGGAGGCAGAGCCAGGCGGATCTCTGTGAGTTCGAGGCCAGCCTGGGCTACAGCGCGAGTTCCAGGAAAGGCGCAAAGCTTCACAGAGAAACCCTGTCTGGAAAAACCCAAAAAAAAAAAAGAATATGACAACTGATAGAAAAGCAGTATAGAGCCGGGCGGTGGTGGCGCACGCCTTTAATCCCAGCACTCGGGAGGCAGAGCCAGGTGGATCTCTGTGAGTTCGAGGCCAGCCTGGGCTACCAAGTGAGTTCCAGGAAAGGCGCAAAATTACACAGAGAAACCCTGTCTCAAAAACCAAAACAAAAAAAAAAAAAAAAAGAAAGAAAGAAAAGCAGTATAGATGTGGACATGAGTGCATGTGTATTCCTTAACTCCGAACTCAGAGGACTACAAATATATCAGTAAACAAATTTAGTCCCAAGTTGTAGTTTTTTTTTTTTTTTTTTTTTTTGGTTTTTCGAGACAGGATTTCTCTGTGTAGCTTTGCGCCTTTCCTGGGACTCACTTGGTAGCCCAGGCTGGCCTCGAACTCACAGAGATCCGCCTGCCTCTGCCTCCCAAGTGCTGGGATTAAAGGCGTGCGCCACCACCGCCTAGCCCAAGTTGTAGTTTTTACATATCATCTTCCAATAAACACGGGCAAGGGATCATAGAGAAACTACTGGTTACAATTCTGGAAAAATAAAAATGAAGTAGAGCCTGAAAGGTCTTGTGATGTCAAACAGACATAATCAAAAAGGTATGGGGGTATGTTAGAAGGAAACAAAAGATAGCTAAAAGAATCTCTCAATGGTCACAGTTGAAAACAAAAGATAAATATAGGAAAAAATGGGCAGGTGGTTCCCAACTACAGTCCCAGCACTCAAGAGAAAGAGGCAGGAGAATCATAAGCACCAAGGCTGCCTGGACTACATAATGAAACTTATCTCAAAAAACAAACAAAAAATGGAACAAAAATAACTGTCATCAGACAAAAATCATAAATAAGCACAGCAAACAAGAATTATTAATAGATGCTAAAACTACTATGATAAAAAAAACAATATTTGCATAATCTCAAAGGATCACTCTATAAGATTCTTATCAACTGCAAAAGGCAAAACAGTAACAATATAATGAAGAAAACTAGCATATATCACTTTAAATTTATCACAGTAATATAACTCCTAAAACATCAACACTGCAATTGCATACACTTGCCTGACACCATACAAGAAAAGGACTTTATTTCCTTTGGCATGCTTGACATTATCTGTATATATTCAGTTTAATCGTGAGGGGGGAAAAATCCAAACTGAGAAATACTGCACAAAAACTGACGTGCAATATATATTTTTTAAAAGAGTCAAGTTCATGAAAGAAGAAAGAATGATAACTGGGAGGAGACTCTGGATATGACAAAGGGGTTGATGAGATCATAAAGGTACCTGCCACTAAGCTTGATGACCTGAGTTCAACCCTGGGAGAACTGCAAGTTGTCCCCTGACCTCCAGGCATGCACTGTGGCACACCCACGTAAATCCATGCACACACGTAAGTAAAAATGTAATAGAAATTTGAAAAGCAAATGGAAATGTCAAAATCACTAGAAAATGAAAGTGAAGTCCTGAAATGAGCCAAAGAAACAAAGTCCCATGTTGTTGCTTTTTTTAAAATAAATCTATAGTTAAGAAAACTATATATATATAAATATATATATATATTTATATATATATAAAATAATGTGAAGTTTACCTTCAAAAGTTGTTTTTGTTTTTTTTTTCACTCAAAAAATCTAACACATGCCCAAAAAGATTTTACACTGTTACTCTAGGGTAGGTCTAGACAATGCTAAGAACTGATGGGTCTCAAGATTCAAGATAGAGCATGTTGACTATCAGTTACTTCTGAAGACTCTGTTTTGTATTTTCAAGGAAACCATTACCCCCAATATGCAGGTAATTTCCTGGAGCCAGGGCTTTGGAAGTCATTCAGCCCTTAAACTGACTCAATCAAATTTGTGGGGCCATGACTGAATCTTGCCAATAAGAATTTCAGAGTTCAAAGTTCAAAAACCAAGGAAGCAAGAGTTTCAATCCTAAGAGCATAGGCCCCCTCTCCTACCACCAATGGCCTCTCAGCTCCTGCAAGACCTCAGCCAGGCTCTACTGAACAAACTGAAATAAGCCTTTTTCTCTAATTTTAAGAATTAGTGGGCTGGAGAGATGGCTCAGAGGTTAAGAGCACCACTGGCTGTTCTTCCAGTGGTCCTGAATTCAATTCCCAGCAACCACATGGTGGCTCACAACCATCTGTAATGAGATCTGGCTCCCTCTTCTGGCCTGCAGGGATACATGCAAACAACACTGTATATATTACAAATAAATAAATCTTTAAAAAAAAAAAAAAAAGAATTAGTACTACTGATAGAGATTGGTCTGCCTCTGTCTACTCTTCAATAGAAGACCTCCATCTCCCAAGTGGCCCCTATGTAGCTTAAGAGCTTAATTTCTCCTTGGAGAACACTGAGCTCAGACAGAGAGCACCTTAACTTGTGGGTTTGGCACATTTATTTACAGGTATTATGCAATATCTCAATCCTCATTTACAGTGCTAGGGAAATTTTGTGAAAAATAAAATATTCTGAACACAGAACCACATTATTAGATAATTGCTTTTTCCATTATTTTACTATTTCCTTAATGAGCCCTAAATTTTAAAATAATCCTACCCAATCTTCCTTTCTCCCCACACTATCCCTTCCACCCCAAATTCAAAAACCTACAAAACTGGATGTGTAAAAGATATTGTTCATCATCAAAAAGAATCCCCACAACCTAAAACTTACTTTCTTATAGTGTTAACTCTGCATTTTTTAATCACCCACCTGCCCAGCACTGGGATTACAGTGTGCTGCCATGCCTGACTTTTTATGTGGGTTCTGGAAATCTGAATTGAGGTCCTCATACTTGTACATTAAACATTGATTGTATTGACTGAGCCATCGTCCCAGCTCCAGGTGTGGTTTTTTTTTTTTTTTAATGTTTTATTGGTATATAAAACAATGGGTTTCATTTTAATGTTTTCCTACATCTGTATCAGTGTATTTTGTCGTCCCCCCCCCACACACACACACACACCAGCAAAATGGTCAGATTTTCTTGATGAGGGTAGCAGGAAGAAAGAAAAGGGAAAATCATTTAAATTTTTTCAAATATCCTAACTTAAAATAATTCTGAGTTCACTTATGCAGAAAACAGTACCAGGGAGTAGGGTGCAGCCATAACAGGCCTGACCATGCTATTTTGTGGACTAGGGAAGAGTTTGTGGCTTTAGACTAGGAAAGTGGTTGAATGCTATAAACAGGGATTAACTAAGTATTCTCCTAAGAATTTAAAAGACAACAGCACTGAGAACAACATGGACTATGGAGGCCCAATTCAAGAGATTTCAGGGGGGAACAAAGTTATCAACTGGGATAGAGCCCATTCTTATGATATTTTGACAAAGAATGTGGCTGGCTGCATTTTGCCCTTGTCCTAGGAGTCTTCCTGGAACTAACTTTAAGTGTTGTGGACTAATTTCATTGGCAGAAGAGAGTTCAAGACAGCCTAATACTGAATCTGTAACTTGTATTTGTAACCATGCATATGCAGATCCACAATGAAAAAGACCAAACAAGACAAAAAGAAATACAAAATGTATAGTTTGAGGAGAAAGGGCACCAGGAAATTTAATGTTGGAGCCATGGCTTGTGCTGAAAAAATAAGGAGAAATGGACTAAAGGGAGTAGTGCCCTCGGGGCAAGACCTCATCCAGCTAATCCTAAAACTTGTGAAAAGAAAAGGCCTAAGGCAGCAGTTCTCAGTCCTTTGGGGCTTGTGTGGCCATTTCACAGGGGTGGCAGATCAGATGTTCTGCAGATCAGATATTTACTATTCATACAGTAGCAAAATTACAGTTATAAAGTAGCAACAAAAATAATTGTATTGGTTTGGGTTACTGTTAGAATTCTGCCCTGACTCCAGCTGCATGACCGCACATACGTAGTTCAGGAGTTAAGCAGAGGGTCTTGCATCTTATGTCATCAGTGTGTGTGCATGGCGTGGTCACGCAGTCAGCACATGCATGGTGTAGCTCCGTAAGCCCACCTGTGCATGTTCACTGGGAACCCTTAAAGAGCCGGACACAGGCACCACCCTCTCTCTGTTCTGCTCCCTCTTCCCCCCACCATCTTTCCCTCTCTCTGCACGTGCTCCTTTCCCAGGCCTGGTTCTTCTCCCCCGCCACCCCTCCTCCTAATAAAGTTCTGATACTGGGTAGTCGTGGCCATGCCTTGTGACCTTTCCACACAGCAACCAGTGCCAATAATCAGTACTGTTTATCATTCTTTCAGTTACCACAGCATGAGGAACTGTATTAAAGGGTTGCAGCATTAGGAAGGTTGAGAACCACTGGCCTAGGGAATTATCTGTTCCTAAAAATCAACTGCAAATCAAAGCTTAGGAAAATGTAACTCAAGAAGGAGGTCAGGGGGTCAGGTTCCATCCCAAGTGGCAGTAGAACTTAGAAGCATCTGCCACATAGTTCCGGCTTTAGAGTCAAGGATGAAGGATAAAAGGGTCATGGAAACACCAGCCCCCAGAGGTTAAGTAAAGCCACTAGGGCCAGGTGTGTGGCAGGCCCAGAGACAGCACTGTCATAAAGCTGTCAAAGTGAAGCTTGTGCTGGAGAGCCTAAGATGCTGAAGATGCGGGAACCATGGGATATCTTCCAAGGAGAGCTGCAAAACAGAGAATGAAACCAGCCAAAGAGAGGTAGGTGTGTTGGAGTCAGCAAAGCTGGAAGGGCAGAGCCATATAGGCCCTTTAACATCAGAACAAGGTCTGGAATTTGTCCTGTTAGGTTTTGGTCTTACTTGGTCCAGTATTTCCTCACTATGCCCTCTTTCCTCTCTTTTGGAATGGTAACGTATATTCCTTGTTATTGTACATTAGAAGTATGTAATTTGCCTTTTGATTTTATAGGCAGTTATAATTAAGAGATTGACTTGAGTCTCAGAAGAGACTGGACTTTTAAACTGTTTTGAGACTCAAAGACTATGGGTTTTTTTGTTGTTTTTTTTTTTTTGGTTTTTCGAGACAGGGTTTCTCTGTGCAGCTTTGCGCCTTTCCTGGAACTCGCTCTGCAGCCCAGGCTGGCCTCGAACTCACAGAGATCCGCCTGCCTCTGCCTCCCAAGTGCTAGGATTAAAGGCGTGTGCCACCACCACCCGGCCTATGGGGACTTTTGAAGTGCACTTCGCATTATGATATGGCTATGGGCCTATGGGGACCAGGGAGGTGAATGTGGTAGTTAGAGTGAGAACGGCCCCCAAAGGTTCATATTTGAATGCCTAGATCCCAGTTGGTGGAAGTGTTTGGGAAGGATTAGGAGATATGGACTTGTTGGAAAAGGTGTGCCACTGGGGGTGGGTTTGAAGTTTCAAAAGCCTACACAATCCCCAGTTATTTCTCTGTCTGCCTTATGGCTGTTTCTCAACAATATGAGCTCTCAGCCTGCCTGCCACCCCACCGTGATAATCATGGACCTCTGCAACTCTGAAAGAATCCCAATAAATTCTTTCTTTGGTAAGTTGCCTTGGTCATGATACTTTGTCACAGCAGTAGGAAAGTAACTAAGACACAATACAAAGATTAAAAGAAAAGGGGTGAGCTAGGCATGGTGGCAAACATCTTTACTCCCAGCACTAGGGAATAAAGCAGGTTGATCTTTCTACATTTGAGGCCAGACTGGTATATACAGCAAGTTCTAAGACAGTCAGGGTTACATAGTGAGACCCTGTCTCAATTTAAAAAAAAAAAAAGTCAAGAGGTGTTGCCTACATGTTTAAATGATGCATAGGGAACTGTGGTGGAGCCTGTCTCTTCTAGATAATCCTCCCAGCTGAATTCTTCTTCTGCACCAGGCCCAGAATCTACAAAAAAAAAAAAAACAACAAAAAGTTATATCTCCAAGTAAATGCAAGGTATATAAACAAACTTACTGTAGGACAAATTCATTGATTTTTACACATACACATAAAAAACCAAACAAACAAAAAAAGCAATTTCTGTTTTAATGGCAAGTTCCCTAAGTGCACTGACTGCCAATTCAACATAACAGTCACTTGATATATTCTCTCTTGCTGGGTGTGGTGGTTTGAATAGGAATGAACCTGTAGGCTCATATATTTGGATGCTTGTTCATTAGGGAGTGTTACTACTTGACAGGGATTAGGAGGTTGGAGTAGGTGTGGCCTTGTTGGAGGAAGTGTGTCACTGGGGATGGGCTTTGGGGTTTCAAATACTCAAGCGAGGCCTAGTGGCTCTCTCTTTCTTTTCCTGCTGCCTATTGATCCAGATGCAGAACTCTCAGCTGCCTCTCCAGTACCATGTCTGCCTGCATGCTGCCATGCTGCCTGCCATGATGATAATGGACTGAACCTCTGAACTGTAAGCCAGTCCCAATTAAGTGTTTTCCTTTATAAAGAGTGGCCATGGTCATGGTGTCTCTTCCCAGCAACAGAAACCCTAACTAATACACTGGGGAAACAACAAATCCCAAGTTTACATAAATGGATCCTATGAAACTAGGGTGAATATAAAACTATTCAAATTACTTTGGACTCAAATATAGTATCTAATACCAACATGCAGGATTCTTAATAGACATTTCAAATTTAAACTGTGAACCTGATTCTGAGTATTCTGCAACTGAGTAAAAATACTACTAGCCAATCTAGAAAATGTGAACTTACTTTTGGTTCCCCTCCTTTTTTATTCAGTCCTTACATACAATTCAATGAAGCATATCCTACCTCTATTTCTTATGATGTCCACTGCTATCTATAGAGCAAGGCCTGTCAATATATCTCTTACCTTTCACTCATAAAAGACTGCAAAGGCTCTACAGTATCTGATCTACCCTTCCACTTTTTTTTTTTTTTTTTTTTTTTTGGTTTTTCGAGACAGGGTTTCTCTGTGTAGCTTTGCGCCTTTCCTGGAACTCGCTTTGGAGACCAGGCTGGCCTCGAACTCACAGAGATCCGCCTGGCTCTGCCTCCCCTTTTTATGAACCAGCTCACAACTCCCTGTAAATTCAGCTCTAGGGGACCTGATGCCCTCTGGCCTCTGTGGGCACTACACTCACATGTACAAATCCATATATAATCACACACATATACATAATTTAAGATTAACCCCAAAATCTTTTTAAAGGGGAGGGGGGGCTAGAAGCTTCTTTCTTCATATGACTAGTTTTTCACATTACTAGAAAGTGCTATGTAGGCTGTTGAGGACAAAAGTTATCAATAATTTTACTCAACCATTGATCCAGTAGGTTTCACTACCAACTTATTGGTTAAGATGTACACACTGGAGTGGCCAACCTATGACTGGTCCAACTTGAGGCCCATGCCATGAGAGGGAGCCCATGCCTGACACTGTCTGGAGGGCCGGGAACCAGAGGCTGGACAGCCCAGAGACCCAGGACAGGACTAAATACAAATGGCCAAAAAAAAAAAAGTCAATGAAATGATTCCTAATGATGTTCTGCTATACTCATAGATTAGTACCTAGCCCAACTGTCATCAGAGGGGTGTCATCCAGCAACTGATAGATGCGGAGACCCACAGCCAAACACTAGGCAGGGCCAGAGGAACCCTGCAGAAGACGGGGAGGAAGAATTGTAGGAGCCACAGGGGCCAAGGACACCATGAGAGCACGACCTACAGGACCAACTGAGAAGGGGTCACAGTTCAGAGATGAATCGACAAACACGAACCCTGTGTGGGTCTGAGCTAGGTCCTTTGCGTGTACCTTATAGTTGTGTAGCTTAGTGTGCTTGTGGGACTCCCAACATTGAGGGGGGAGGGTCTGACCCTTTGTACATAAACTAAATTTTTTAAAAAACGCAATTAAAAAACAGTGTAGTAAGAAAGAGAACTAGGAAGCTCTTCATGGTAACAGAAGAGTTATGTATCTTGACAGTTCAGGAGGACACACACATGACAAAAAAATAACAAAGAACTAAGCAGTTTATGCTAATTTTATACTTTATATTATAGTTGAATGAGAGAATAGAAACTGAATGAAGGGGAGCATGGAACCTGTTGACACTATCTTTGCAACTTCCTATGAACTCAAAGAATTTAAAATCAATTATAAAGTAATCAGCAAAATTCAATTATTTAGAAAATGAGGTCTGTTCTTCAAAAACTTTTTTTTTTTTTTTTCAGTGAACAGTAGTTGTAGTCTCTAGTGGCAGGTTCTCTGTCAGGCCCAAGAGACAGCAATGAAAAATGTATGACTTCAAGGAGCTTCCAGTTTAGCGGTAGACAAAGTAACAAAGGCAAATAATCTGCATCTGCACACTGGAGAGGGATTTAAGAGAACCAATACCTGCATCCAGCTGCTGCTCCCCACTCATCTCCACAGCACATGGGCTATTTCTTCCCCAAATAATGAACAGGTTGAGGCTCTGCTATGATATGAAGATGAGCTCAAGTTTCAAGTTTCTGTCCAGTGGGCATCCAAGGATCTAAACAAAAGTGTTTTAAAAAAGTTACAAACATAGCCAAAATTCAAATGTGTTTACTTATTCATAAGACAGTGTTTGACTGGGTTGAAAGGTAAGTGAAAAGAAAATCACTTAGAAGACATAGGATTACGGGAGTGGGGAGGTGACATCTTTTCCATATTTGAAGTTTGTCTAATGAGTATGGATATACAGATATGTGTGTACAAGAGGACTATAAAAGTCTTGATAGCTAAGGATTACAATAAATTGTGACTGAAGAGATGGCTCAACAGTTAAGAACACTGGTTGCTGACTACAGGACTCAGGTTCAAGTCCCAGCACCCACATGGTGGTTTGCTGTGAGATGTTCTGTATGCTGTAAATGTGTTGCTCTGATTGGTTGATAAATGAAACACTGATTGACCAGTAGCCAGGCAGGAAGTATAGGCAGGAAAAACAGATAAGGAAAATTCTGGGAAGGGGAAGGCTGAGTCAGGAGATGCCAGCCTACAGCCCAGGGAACAGCATGTAATGACACACAGGTAAAGCCACAGAAAACGTGGCAACATATAGATTAACAAAAATGGGCTGAGTTTAAGTGTAAGAGCTAGTCAGTAGTTAGCCTGAGCTAATGGCCGAGCAGTTCTAATTTAACATTAAGCCTCTGTTCATTTGGGTCTGAGTGGCTTTGGGACTACAGGAGCTTGGGAGCCGGGTAGGACCAGGAAAACTTCAGCTACAGTGGTTCACAACCATCTGTAACTCCAGTTCCAGGGGATCTGGATGCCTTCTGGCCTATGTGGGCATCAGGTGAGAAAGTGGTACACAGACATACATTCAGGCAAAAAACCCATATACATAAAATAAAATAATTTAATGAAGATTACAATAAATCAATATATGAATGAATCCTAACCTTTAAACTTAGTATTATGGCTTCTATCCACAAAAAAAGCTAATTCTTCCATCCATAAAAACTTCAATACCTAAGAGAATCACTCCAAAATAAGTTTCAAACCCATTTCTGTTTTAAAACAGCTTTATTGGTCAGGCATGGTGGCACACACCTTTAACTCCAGCACTCAGTAAGAGGCAGGCAGATCTCTGTGAGTTTGAAGCCAGCCTGGTCTACATGGCAAGTTTCAAAACAACCAGAGCTACACAGTGTGAGAACCTGTCTCAAAAAAACAAAACAAAGTTTTACTGGAATAGTATTCACACATCAAAATTCACATTCGAAATGTACAGTCCAATAACTTAATTAAATTTACAGAGGATTTAGTTATTATCATATACCAGTTCAGAATATTTGTGTCACCCTGAAAAGAGACTATGCTCATGCACATTAACTACACTACAAGGTGAATATCATCATCATGAGCTCACAGCACAAAACAATGATCACACCTGCCCTGAGCCAATAGCTAGTAAGCAGCAAAACCAGGCTTTTAACCAAGAAGGATGTCTACATTTCATGTCCTCAAATACTGTATTATCTCTCAATACAATGATATGACTTTGAACTCTTTTTTTGTTTGTTTGGTTTTGTTTTTTGTTTTTTTGAGACAGGGTTTCTCCACGTAGTTTTGGTGCCTGTCCTAGAACTCGCTCTGTAGACCAGGCTGGTCTCAAACTCACAGAGATCTGCCTGGCTCTGCCTCCTGAGTGCTGGAATTAAAGGCCTGTGCCACGGTCACCCGGCTGACTTTGGATTCTTGATGCTCCTGACTCTACCTTCTGAATGGTAGGATGCATGGCTGTTATGATTAATTCTAAGAAAAAGAGTTCAATAAATATTTACCAGGTGGTTAAAGAAAAAAAAAACCCACTAAAATATTTGAATTTGCACACCTATTCCAATTCAAAAGATGTATACACTTTTAAAATATACTGTTAAATATGGTAAATACTGTAACTAGATGTCTCATTTTTCAAATCTGCAGCTCTAACTCTGCTCCTGGCAGGTAACAGCAACTGAAAGTAACTCTACTTCCTGTTCCCAGAAGTCTAGATTTCTATTGGCCCTTCACTCTCAACAACACTCAACCATCATTCCCTGCATACGTCTGTTTTAGAGAGTATATTAAACTAATGTCCATATTTGTCAATGAAACTTAATTTTCAGGATAAAAATCTTCTGTTGATTTATTAAGCTGTTTCTCCTGATTATTTTTATTGTTGCTAGTCTACTGCTACATGTCTAAAAAGATTAAAAATTAAAGTCTGACAAAGTCCAGGTTTTAACGATTTCTGACAGACAAATCTTAGCCACCTATATAATCTAAATTAAAATCTGACCAAAATGTAATCTTTTTAAGACTATGTAAATTCAACATAGCAGTATCTGTCTTAGCTCATAAAATGGTACTAATAACTGCATTAAACACCTAAAATTATTTCCTCTTAGAGACAGGTTCTTCTAATGCCCAGGCTACTAATAACTGCATTAAACATCTAAAATTATTTCCTCTTAGAGACAGGTTCTTCTAATGCCCAGGCTGGACTTTACTTCAGGGCTTAAGTGATCCTCTAGGAAGCCTCTCAAATACTATCACACTGGCAAACAATGAGAAAATAAAAAGGAAAAGATGACACAAGACTATAAACGTGCAAAATATAGCCATTAAAATTCTGTTTTATTTTGAGACTGTCTTTCTATAGAGTCCTGGCTGTCCTAGAACTCACAATGTAGACCAGGTTTACCTTCAACTCAGAGATCTGCCTGCCTCTACCTCCCTGGTGCTGGGGTTAAAAGGCATGTGCCACCACACCCACAAATGTTATTAATGAAACATTTTATTCTCAATCAAATCCCAAAGGAAGTGTTTTACTTGATTTGATAAACTAATTCTTTAAAAGGACATGTACATCCAAAAGATGAAAATATAGATCAGGGGCTGAGGATACAACATAGAGATAGATCATTTGTCAAGTACAGAGACCCTGGATTTGACTCCATTAACAAGACAACAGCAATAACAAAATAACAATAACATATACATACATATATGACTTGGAGTTGGTAAAGCATTTGTCAATCACAAAAGGACATCCTGATTCAATCTCCAATACTAGGTGCGTGCGTGCGTGTGTGTGTGTGTGTGTGTGTGTGTGTGTGTGTGTGTGTGTGTGTGTGTGTGTGTGGTGCTGGGGATGTAGAACTGCTGTCAGTAGCACATGCCTGAAATTCCAGCACTTGGAAGATAGACAGGACGATCAGAAGCTGAAGATTTACATAGAGAGTTCCAGACTAGGCTGTGTTACATGAGACCCTGCAATTTAAAATAAAAAAGATAAAAGTAAATAGTGTTTTTAAAATTTGCTTTGCTCCTATTAATTAAGATAATATATACACTAGTCACAGGACATGGACAAAATAAGTTGATGCTTCCCTCCCTGTAGGCTAGCTTTCATAGTAACAGAAGGTGTTATGAAGACTGCTAGGGGTAGGGGGGGTCATCAACAGTCTTACCCGGCTGTGAACCCTGTGAACTGCAATAGGGACAGGCAAGGCAACATATGCCCATGGATACAATAGTGGCATGAATATTATGGGAATAATCAACTGTTTCCTCATTGGATTTAAGGGCTGCTACACAGGCAGAAACACTGCCTGGTACTGTAAATCTGGCCAAAAATCTATGGCTGGGAAGCACACATGACCCAGGGATGAACCTGTTACTATTATTTTGCTAAATGAACATAGTATCAAATTGCTAATTTGTATCTCTCTAATCACAGATTAGTGAAGCTCTTAGATCTCAGATCAAATCAGAGAAAACTGTGCAGTGGACAGTGGTTAATATAGAAACTCACAACTGATCAAAGTGCCAAGAAGTGTTGGTGGCATGCTCAGTCACAAATGGACTGTCTACATTACTTATTGTTTTAGTTTTAGTATATATTTATGAGTGTTTTGTCTGCACGTATGTGCCTGAGGAGGCTAGAGGAACTGGGTGCTGGGAAGTGAAGGAGGAAGATCAGCCAAGTGCTTTCTCTGCTTCTCTGAGCTAGCAGGTTTTCACCCCAGCATGTGGCTCCTGAATCTTTATCAGTGAAATTGAATGATTGCCATTTAGATAAAAACCAACAGTTTATGCTAGTTGGATTTTTGTCAGCTTGATACAAACTATATGTCACCCAAGAAAAGGAACCTCAATTGAGGAACTGCTTCCATCAGGTTGGCCTGCAGGCACAGTGGGGCATTTTCTTGATTAATGATTGACATAGGAAGGCCCAGCTTACTGAGGGCAGTACCACCACTATGCAAGTAGTCTTGGTTGTCTAAGAAAACAAGCTGAGCAAGTCATAAGGGGCAAGTTAGTAAGCAGCATTCTTCCATGGTCTCTACTTCAGCCTGCCTTCAGGTTCCTACTTGAATTCCTGCTCTGACGATGAACTGTGATTTGGAAGTGCACACCAAATAAACCCTTTTTCCTGCCAAGGTAATTTTGGTTACGGTTTTATCACAGCAAGAGATAAGAAAACTAGTCCTGAAACTTCTGTATTAGTTACTTTTTTGTTGCTGTGATAAAATACCATGATCAAGGCAACTTATAGGATGAGTTTATTTGGACTTATGGTTCCAGGGGGATAAAAGTCCATTATGGTGGGGAAGCAGAGCAACATGAAGCAGGTATGGTAGCAGGAACAGGAAGCTGAGTGATCATTTCAACTACAAGCAACAATCTGGGGGGTTGGGGGAGCATACAAAATGGTAGAACAGAGACAAACAAACTAGAAGTGGAAATGGGACAAGGCTATAAACTCTCAAAAAATGTGCCGGGCGGTGGCGGCACACGCCTTTAATCCCAGCACTCGGGAGGCAGAGCCAGGCGGATCTCTGTGAGTTCGAGGCCGGCCTGGGCTACCAAGTGAGATCCAGGAAAAGGCGCAAAGCTACACGGAGAAACCCTGTCTCGAAAAACCAAAAAAAAAAAAAAAAAAAAAAAGTTACAGAAAAAGCTAAAAGAAGTAGGAGGCCAGAAAGTGCTACTTTCAATTGGGTGATCCAGGTCTTA